TTGATATCGTCATTTCTAAACCTGCCACCTGATGTAATCTAGTACTGGCTCTACTTCTTTCCTTATATTGTCATTTCCTATCCTGTCACCTAATGAAGTTTAGTACTGGTTATGTTCTTCTTTCTTTCCTGATATCGCCTTGTCTGATCCTGTCATTTCTGATATCTCTCTCTCTCTCTCTCTCTCTCTCTTTCTCTCTCTCACTCACTCACTCACTCACGCCCACACACACACACACACACACACATATATATATATATATATATATATATATATATATATATATATATATATATATATATATATATATATATATATATATATATATATATATATATATATATAAAGTGTGTGTGTGTGTGAAACCGAAAATACAAATGTCAACAAATAAGTTGACAAGCTGGAATACACATGCTCAAAGAGGAGAGTGGTTTGGAAGAAAACAAAATGGATATGGAATGAAAGAAAAACAAAGCAGGCCTCGCCGAAGACAGATGAAAGTGCTGAACTGACTAGAGACACTAGACGCAGACGGTCGTTTTCTCAACATGCTGATTTGAGAATCGACATAACAGCATTTGAGACATTTCCATAAGCGCTCTGTCGCCATCTTCTGCAGCAAGCACAGAGTTACAAGTCCGATGGTGCCAATAACTGTTTGACTAAATATCCGTCTCGCCCTTTCCCTGAATTTTAAGCGTCGGCCAAATCCCATGGTCATTCGTCACAGCGCCATTCTCCTCAGACAACGATGATCTATTTGTGTTCCTGCAATGTTCACTCGCTCCCAAAAAGGACTCTTACAATATCTTGCTTGCAAATCCACTACCAAGTGAGCAGAACCAGCCAGTATATCTGCCTATTCGTTTCCCTTAACGCAGGTATTTCATAAGAAGGAATGGTTCAGGAACCTGATGACACCTGACAAGATTACTAGAAAAAGAGCACAGGGGAAGGCAAACTGATCTTTACCTGGATAGCTTTGCCATATGCACAGGGGCGAGACAACAGCAAGGATCTAAATAAACCATGATTCTAGTCACGTGACCATGTGAGTCAGCGAAACATTACCACCCACGCTTATCGGCAAGGCACACGATGACGAAAAATGCAATAAATGAGGAGATAAATTGAAACTGGCAGAGACCAGCATAAAAGCAAAAACACATTCATGTGTATCGAAGGAGATACTGCAACTGCAATATCTGTAACATCAGACACAAAGAAATGACTAATGAGAAAGTTAAAAAAAAAAAAAAAACTATGAATTTCCATCTTGAGAACCTGTATGTCACATGCCACAAAATAAACAAGTAGTAGAGTCTGTGACGCAAGTAATTTAGTCGCCGTCTGGGATCATTCCCTGCTTATTTCGACAAACTGGCAAGAGAATAAACTTGTAAGTTTGGTGAATCGTCTTCAAGAGCCTCCATCTTCAGTTTGTAGATCTGATACATCGCGCAGGCAGGACTGACAAACGGAAGTCACAGTGACGTGTTTCCGGCAGGGCCGTCTGGGTTGTGGTTGAGGCGTAGTGTTAGAAAACAATCCAAACAAGCAACAGAATGACGTCCAGGATCATCTCGTATGGTGATATGGAGGAAGACGACATACCAACGATGTCGACAAAGCCTGGCCAAGATCGTGATAGCAACTGGGGACCTAATGGCGGAACAATATCGATGACTGCTACTAAATTAAGAGGAAGAACTGGTAGAGCAATATGACCATGAACAGCTCAGGAGACAGCCCAGTCAGTGCCAGTAACACCACCAACGGATGGGTGGCACAATAAGGAACACATTACCTAATCAGATCCATGCTAGTGCATGTGCTAAGACAGCAGTCTGTCAATCTTTCCACAAGGGACTGTGATAAACATTCTGTGTGTTTTTCGTTGGCACAGAAGGGCAGCACCTATGGGGTGACCCGTTTGCTATGAAGCTGAAACTAAGTTTACCAGATACAAACCTGCACAATGAGACGGACACGACAGGGCGGCCAGATAGACACGGAAGACATACAATTTTAGCACCAAACAATTCAATGAAATAGCAACAAAATTTGCCATAATTATAACCGATATTGACTGGGACGAGGCTAACTCCCTGATCGAAGATTGAATATCGCTAACCGAAATCGAACTAACGAAAAAAAAAGTAGGCGGATTAACTGGTGTATTAGGGAGAATACTAGCCTTGTCCTAGGAGAAGGAAATTCAAACTTAATGACAGGGCAGATCTGGCCCTTAGCATTGGCTGACAGCTGGCCAGGGAACGACCTTAGACAAGCGGACATAAAAATCCCTTCTATTCTTATCTAGCAGCTTCTGCAGCATGCTGTGGTCTAGATGTATTGGTTTCACCTTACCTCTAGAGTTAACAATACAGGCCGAGAAGGGGATCATGCTTGGGCAACACATGACGTCTACAAAGGTTTGCAGATACATTACAGATTTGCAGAGCATGACTAAACAGGCAATGAAATCGAAAAGAATTAAATTGAAGAAATGAGGCTATAAAAGGAAACCCTGATGCGAACGCTGTTGTAATGAACCTAATTGTGGGTTCAATACCCATTTGTGTTCCGGCCTCTGACACCCTGGCACATCGGTCCAACTCATGTTTGTTCCGGCCTCCAAAACCCTGGCACATCGGTCCAACCCTTTTCTGTTCCGGCCTCCAAAACCCTAGCACATCGGTCCGACTCATTTCTGTTCCGGCCTCCAAAACCCTGGCACATCGGTCCGACTCATTTCTGTTCCGGCCTCCAAAACCCGGGCACATCGGTCCAACCCTTTTCTGTTCCGGCCTCCAAAACCCTGGCACATCGGTCCAACTCATTTCTGTTCTGGCCTCCAAAACCCTAGCACATCGGTCCGACTCATTTCTGTTTCGGCCTCCAAAACCCTGGCACATCGGTCCAACCCTTTTCTGTTCCAGCCTCCAAAATCATGGCAAATTGATCCAACTCATTTCTGTTCTGGCCTCCAAAACCCTAGCACATCGGTCCGACTCATTTCTGTTCCGGCCTCCAAAACCCTGGCACATCGGTCCGACTCATTTCTGTTCCGGCCTCCAAAGCACTCGCACATCGATCCAACCCATTTATGTTCCGGCCCTCAAAACTCTCGCACATCGGTCCGACTCATTTTTGTTCCGGCCTCCAAAGCCCTGGCACATCGGTCCGATCCATTTGTGTTCCGGCCATCAAAACCCTGTCACATCGGTACGACCCACTGTGTTGCGGTCTCCTATACAGCAGTTCAACATGCACAGTAGGAATTTATTTGCTAATCTTTTTTCTTTGCCTCACATCCAGTTTCTGCATGCATGTCCTCCTCGTTTAATACCGATTTAAACAGTCGGTTCATTGTCTCTGACTCCTTCGTTTCAAGGATTCTAGAACGCAGCTCACTTAGCATGTCTGCGCTGTTCATACTTCCTCCTCCTCTAGCAACTGTAGACACGGCCAGTCTGACGGCTTATGCGGGTATTCAATGCAACTAGCGTGCAGACTATCTTGCTATGACTGGTCCAGTACTGGGCAGAAGTGATGTTATCGCAGCGCTTACAATTAGAACGAATTAATCCAGTAACAGAAAGTGTATTGATCGGCATACACACCGGAACCTACCAATCAAATACCTTTCTTAAAGGTTTGTGTATTCTAGACAAAGCATTAAGGTCTACTGTGTTCGTAAATTGTTGCTGTGATTGTTATTCGACATATATTTCGTTAATATACATTTCTGTAACCTATGGTGCAATTTCAATGGTTTTAAATGAATTCTGTCCGTATTCCATAGTTGTGGATTTCAAGCTATACGATAGACATGGCCAATAATACACCTTTATTGGTGGTGCCTAGTTGACCATGTTCTTAGTGCACTTGTATCCAAGGCGAGGCGCACACACCGTCTGGAGGTGACAGGTTCAATTCCCGGCACGGTAACTATAGCTTTCAATGTTTATGTTGTCTAGTGTGTTCTTCTATCTTTCTACTTCTTTCTATGAGTGCCGATCAATACACTTTCTGTTAATGGATTAATTCATAATATTTAACGGCCTCAAAGGTTCTCCCTCTATTTATTTATAGGAATACCATTAGAACGGGCACGCCAAAGGGCATGACTGCTTATTCCAGGCTAGGCTGATGGACAGGGCAGAGCAGCCTGGATCTGCAAAAAATAAAGAATTCACCAAGGGGACACGACGTTTCATTAACCAGCACAGAACAGGCGTCATCAGTCGATTTACACTTGTGGAGCTTTTGAGAAGGAGACTGGAGCACCTATGGATCTGTCCGGAGTGCTGTAATGATAATCCTTACTAATCACTAATCACCTGCCCAGATTGATTATTACTTCATTGTTTATCTGTAATTGTTTTGGCTTTCCTAGCCAAAGGCAGAAATACAACCCTCACCTGCGACAGAATTAGCCATGCGGTCTTAAATCCTTTGGCTCAAAGACCCCCTGCCTACACAGCAAAAGTGGTATAAATAAAGGCAGAACTTGCAATTACCAGGTTCTTCGATCAATCCTTTCTAGTAGCATGTCGTCCGAAAATCAGCCAAGCGTTTTCTGTCTTATTGTTTTGATAAATTTGAGACATCGTCTAATCATAGCATTCCTTCTCAACTTGAATGAGTTAAGTTGACCGCGCACTAGGCGATTTTAACACTACGTGATGCAAAGAAGGAGAATCCCCTTGGTTCAAATTCCAGAATCCCCGTTCAAAGGTTATGTTATATAAAAGAAAAGGGAAGGGGTGGTGCCGACCATTAGAAAGTAACCTGAAGTCCAGACAAGGTAGAACGATTAATGATAACTGTAAACTGGTCATCCCATCTTCTTCTAGAAAGCCTACAAGGGGACCAAATGACGTCATCAATATGTGCTGTGACGCCATCACTTTGTGACCTCCCGTTCCTGGATGCAAGGGCCAAGAACCATCATGCCACATCCTTTCGTCAATTATCAGAGTATTTCTGCAAATATGGACCGCTACGCAGAAATGTCGCAGCAGACACTGGTCGTCTCAAATCCTTCTGCCTTGGGCAGTGATGAGCGGCAAGTACACCAGTCGTGCAGTCCTGCTAAATGTTTGCGGAACCGAAATCAAAACTCGTCGTCGTGCAGCTGCAGTAGCAGAACCAACGATGGCGGCCATTCCAAAAGTTTGGCCGCGGTGGAGGATTCAAACCTCAGTCTGCAGTTGAATACTGTTTTGAATATGCAGGATCTGTTTTCACAGAACGGTTACGGTTGTGAAATTCATGAGCTGAGGTCAGGATCAGCTGAAGAAAGGAGATTCCGTTCTAAAGTAAGACTAGATCTTAATAATGACGAAGTTTGCCCTGATAATTCGGATAATTGTAATATCGAAGTTAACCGAATTGTCAAAGCTGTTGAGGTTTTTGAGTCAGAAGAAATTGACGAAGATGTCGGTTTCTCGGATACAAAGTTAGATTTGAATGATGAGGAGTCAGTACTTGATGGCAACCAAGAACATGAAGAGTCACTGGCAGGTGATGAGGATGGAAATGACAACACAGATGAGGCAACCCAAGATGATGGAGAGAGTACACAAGACGGAGGCGAGCAGAAAAAGTTTTCAAAGAGCTACTGGCGCAAGCAGAGAAGACTGAGACTCAAGGAAAGACTCCTTGCAGAGAAAATGCTAATGGAGAGTAACCCAGATCTTGCTGCAGAAGAGAAGGAATGTTTAAGACCCCAGAAAGGAGTAAAATCTAAAGGTAAGTAGGTCTCCCTAATTATCAAGTTAAAACTACCGAGTTTTCTTGAAACGAAAACCGGGTCTTATTCTAATTTGTGCAGAAGTAGACGCTTTAAGGCTTGTTTTCATGTACATAAATCTGTATTTACTCGAGCTACAAAAATCTACTTTTTATTTAGTTCAGAAATCTACATTATAAACACTTATGTTATAATCATAGGCGATTACCTCTCCTCCTCAGACGTCCGCCTGGATGTTTTCAAATAGTTATTTTGTAATTTATGTTTTTTGTTTAAAGTATGAATGTCAGAAAATATTATCTATAGTGACTTCATAATTCTATACGATTTCCGATGTTTTACCCTGGCCGACGAAAGCTTGTGGAGAGGGACATATATTTCAACCATCCTCACTAGCCAATTGTTTCCACCAAGGTATGTTTGAGGAAACGCGTTAGTTAAAAAAAATGTAATATAGACAGTTGCAGCTTCTAACGGTAACATGGCGACAGTACAAGCCTATTTAAAAGACTGCAGGTGGGTGGGTAAAGTATTATAGGTACAGAGAATAAAACGGGAGGCGCGTCGAGCTGTGGTGAATACTTTCCTACAAGTCCAGTGACCATTTGAACAATTCCCCGTGTGAAATAGGCGACGTAGAAAACTTTGGAGCAAAAAAAAATTATTTACTCGCCGGCGTCCTGTGGACCTAGTCTGAATTAGTTGAACTGGAGTCTAGAACCGACCGAGATCAAAGCAGTCGCGACTTTTTCACAGGCAGTCGGTTTTCACCAGCCATTGATATAAGTTGATTGTAGGTAAAGTAAAGGACCTTTTTTCCACACTTGTAGGAGTATTGGGCATATAGGGCCAGACCTGGATTTAATAGACCAATCGGCACTCTGTGGGTGATGTCAGCATCAATCGTACCCATTAGGTCGAGCTGGGAGCCAAGATCATTTTCGTTAAAAGAAATCTGTCACCGTTCTTGTTCGAACCCACGACCTTCTGATCCGCAGTTGAAGGTTTAGCCGCTACATTGCACCGGCTTCCACCAGGAAATAGGGATCTCTAAAAGAGTTCTCGGTCTGCCCGTCTCTCTTTTACCGCCGAGACAAATGATTACAATACATTGTGTATATCTTGAGGTGAGGGGAACAGAGGATCACTAGATGTCATGCGTTTAGTTGGTCGACGCATGAATTTGAGGAAATGCGGACGTCCGAAAGAGACGATGAGGTTGGTCAGTGAAGTCTATTGTGCTGGACTAAATTCCAGCCATGATATACAGGAGAGAATTGACTGGAGGATAATGTTTAGATTATCTTCTTCTTCTTCGATCCTTTTCCAAGGGTATTAAGAAAAGATATAAAACCGAACGAAAAGTATATTAGCAAGCTTCACAGTATAACAAATACAAACAAAACGTGAACGTTGCGACTATGGAGCTTTCATCAGCACACACAAATCAAACAATACTACACAAATACACAAAATCACTTAGCTGGTATCTCGAAGCAGCCGGGTCAATGGTTTCTCAGCATCTAGGCATGTTTCCGGCTCTGAGGATCTTGTCGATTTCTTATGCATCTTGTGTCAGGTTTACACGCTTACTTAAGTGGTGGTGGATCTCTATGGTTAGGTGGCTTTCTGTGGCAGAATTAGTTTCCGTGCAAACTAGGTGTCTGTTTATGGGTGGGTTTCTGTCGCAAATGTGATTTCCGAGGCGATCTGGGTTTCCGTGCAAATTGGGTGTCTGTTTATAAGTGGGTGTCTATGACAAAATAGATATGCGTAGGTCAGTCAGTATGGCAAACTACTGGACGTGAATTTGCCTAGAAAATCCAAAAACTGCCATGGGCTTTTGGGGTTGGTTCTGCAACGTCCTGTAAAGGATACGCATCTAACCGAGGCCAGTCAGTCAACCTCCATGGTAAAGTAGGCAGGTCTCCAATGCAGATGAAGCTCTGTAGGCTAGCGAGGCCTGGTGGCCACGAGTCTTTACCTGAAAGTGGTGCATTTATTTGCTTCACACGTCCCTTACCCGCACGGGACTGCACAGCTGACACCTGGCTGGTGTTGCTGCTACCAGGGCCCTAGTGATAACTTCTTTGGAGCAGTTGAACGGGGTTTCTGACATCTGTCTTGTGTTTACTGTCCAAGTTGATATCTTTAAATATCGAGATGGTATGGTAAACCTCTTGGTAGCACCCGGAGGGGAGAAAGTGATCTATCGATGGCCTCGCGGGGTTTGCTCTCGGACACCGTCGTGGGTTTGCATGTGTCTGTGTTTTAGAGATCCGTGTGGGTTATCGCCGGAGCTGCAGAGTATTGTACTCGATGCGATGCTCTCTGTGGGTCAACAGCCCCTGTGCGGGCAGGAGCGAACCAAGTGTGATAATACCCTGTGCCACGAAGTCGATCTCCTCGCCTGAAATTCCGTAGACCAGAACTATCTGCTGTATGTTGCGACACATTAGTGATCTTTTCGTCAGTATGGCGGATAGGCGGTTTACTATGTTGAGTTAGGGCTAGTGTTTACCTCTGATAATAGTTAGCTGTTGTAGTTTCCTCGTGTGGAATTAAAGGATTTAGATTCGTCACCCAGCTGCTGGGTGGAGTGCATGGCGCGACACTGTGAACTAGAGAATGCATTTGGAAGGCTTTTAGACTATGCTTGGCGTTGTTTTGTTTTTTTTTAAATTTTTGTGTGTGGACTGCAGGTTTAGAAAATGGCCAATGGCCTGTTTGCCAAAGAACTTGTAATGCCTTATCCGAATAACAGCTACTGATCTGTTGTGTTGCTTTTATCGAAGATGAACTGCCTTTTTAGTGCCAGACTTTTAGTTTTGGCACTTCTGCATTTAACAAGCGCATATGCTATTGCGGATCTCCACCCCTCTACGCCAGCCCCCTCCCCCCCCCCCCCCACTCCCTTCCAACCACGCCCTCACCACCTAGAAAAATATGGGTTGGGGCCTCAGATCCCTTTACCCCCCCCCCCCCCCCCCCTTCCCATAAATTTAGAAAATGGGGAGAGGGTGGGTGCTCAAACTGAGGATGTCAACCCTTCCCTCCTCCAACCACTACCACCTGACCACCTTACAAATTTTAGGCTAATAATTGGCTGTGGAAATTAATTAACAAATACTTGGCCTGGTTGGAAAAAGGGGGGGGGGGGGGTGGAGCGGTGCTGAGCTCTCAGGTGCCCGCGCCTATGTTCGCCACTTCTCTGTCTAAATGTTTGTTAGGAAAACTGATTTGTGTGTATCCGTGTCTATAGGCGTTGTGTTGACTACTGTATACACCGACCGTCAGATATTGTCAAGCAAAGCCTGGAGAACTCAGGTACATTGAGAATGTGGGACACGAAATGTGTTGATAAGTCGGGAGCACAGCTTTTCAAACACGCCGTTATAATGACAATAATTGTGATTGATTTTATTAACTGTAGTAAACCATTTGTACTGATAGTTCTTCAAACTAGGCGTATGTTCGCGTGTGTTCTGTGTGTTCCTACTTTGTTTGGACAATGAACGTGATAGTTTTTTTGGTCAAGGGTCACAAGGTGAACTGCGATGTGAGATAGGTTAGGGGTTGCGATAACGTATCTGGTAGTTGACGATGCCTCGGACACGAATCATCACAAGAAGTGACATGCAACCTCGCACTGCGGCGTTTCGCAAGCAAGTGCCGAAGCAAGCACAGATAACGCGGAAATCTCCACAGGTATCACATTTGCCCCATCAGTCGGCGGATGCTTGTGCAGGTGATAGGGTCCAAGGAAAATACAGACATGGAAATCCAGGTCAAAGATTTGACACACCCGGAACATCAGATTACGAGGACATTGGTTACAATGACTTTGATTGCTATCCATCTAGTAACTTGAAACAGAAACGTCTAGTGGCAGATGAAGAGGGTGGTTTTTCGAAACGTTCAGAGGTCAAGATCTTCGATAGGTGTGTTGATAATATCAGTAGCGTGCTAGGTGATACAAGGGCAGATATCACATCTGCTGATACAGATACAGACTTCATTGAATGTTTTGAGGACAGTTGTGCATTCAGTCATTTGAATGGCTACCGGCCGTTACCAGGATGGAATATTTCACATTCTGCATGTTTGCGATATAGCAGCAGGATTTACATACTCAGAAGTTTCAAACGAGACAAAAAAGAACGCACGGAATCTCTGAATATAAAAACTAACTGTAGAGAACTACAGTCAAAACTGCATGATGTCGCTAAGCAAGGATTGCAGGATTCCGCTAAACATTCTGAAGACATACCTGCTGACTGTGACGATGCCGTAGTTTCAAAGCAGGCTGTAGAGATATGTGCTAATTCTGTTAAGATTGTTGCTGCTCCTGCTGAACAGACACACCCCGAGTCAGCAGATGCTGCGGATGATTCAGGAGGATATAAGACCTTATACACTCCAGCCATTTTGGAAGTAGAGAATACAGACGATCAAGTGGGGTTATCACAAGCGTTAGGTCACGACTTGACACCTACGGAGTCGGAACTGGCTATGACTTCAGTGTTTCAAGATGGCGTGGCGGAAATCACTTGTGCAAACCCGACCGTACCAGCTAGTACCTCCAGGCACAAGACACGACGGAGATCAAGACGAACACCTGCTGGAAAAGTTGACGCTCTGTTTCTACAGGCATCCACCTGTGATGCTTCTTGGCAGTCCACGACCCAAGTTTCACTTGGAGATGGCGACAGCGAGGAAAGATCAGCTGATCAATGTCCGGAACAGTCGTCTCCCGCCTCCCGCTTAGACCAGACAACTTTGTCCAAGTTTTCGTCTGTAGAACGGTTACGACTATGCTCCTCTCCTAGTTTTGTATATGACCCAGAGATCGGCCAGCAGATCCCCTTCTATTTCACAGAGCCAGACATAGAAGAGCTGCATCAGGAATCTGTATTATATTCGTGGCCTGGCATTAATCTTTTGGGGAGTAGTTTTAACAGCACCCATTTGGATAACAGCTGTAGTACATGTGAGTGTT